AGCACAGGAAATTAACTTTTAGTTGGGAATTCAGCAGTAAAACCCTTGAAAGTACTTCTCCGTTCCTAAGTAACATTTAAATGCAAATATGTAGATTACTTTGGCTCAGAGTTTTCCTGTATTACCATTGATGCCAAACAGGTATTTTGGTGGCTGAAACGTATTTTTAAAGTATGTTTTGACTATAAGAAGCTTCCATAAGGGGGGGGGGGGGACAGTCCTCAATGATGAATTGTTATTGTTTATCCACATATAAAAGGTACATTTTTTCTTGAGGTAAGGAGACAATGTGGCATAGCCCCAGCATAATTAATATTTTTTTTACCAGTATGGGTTTTGGAGTAATTTAGAAATAATATCAATAATAACCACACTTGAGGTTGGTTGTCATAATGCATAAAACATACTAGATCCCTAAAACAGTAGCAAAATTATAAAATACCTGGTAGAATTAACAAAATAATTGGTATACCTCAGGCCTGAAAATTTTTTAATTTTTATTTATTTTTTTACTTTCAAGACAGGACTTTGATCTTTGGCTTGTAGTCTGTCAGACATGCTTTACCATTACTCAGTGTGTTTTAGCATTTCTCATGTAATCACGTTTTGGCAGGAACCTCCTGGATTCAGGAATGTGATATCGTGCTAGCAACCTTGCTTGATACCTGTAATCTCTCTGGACCGCAGGATTCTTAATTTAAAAATGAAGTAGGAAAAGGAGAAAAAGTCGGATAACGGTATTTTTGCAACTCCAGAGTTGCCTTTAGAAAGGTCACAGAAAACTCAGTCTTATAGTATTAGGCATTTATTTGTATTCTACTTGGTTAAAAAAAAAAAAAAAAAAAAGGATTTGAAGAGTCTTTCACTGACTGAGACAATGTAAATTACCTGACTGTGACCAGATAAATTAACAGGGTATAAAAGAGAAAGAAAAGCAAGGAAATGTCAACATATGACTCTTAAATGGTAAAGCCAAACCACAAATTTTGTTCTATAAAATAAATCATCCATGAGGAAGGATAACCTTCCATTTGTTACAACACAGATAGACCTTGAGCACGCTGTTAAGCAAGATAAGTCAGAGAAAGACAAGCATTGTGTAATGATACTTACATGTGAAACCTAAAGTTAAACCTGTAAAAACAAGTAAAATGGTGGTAGTTAGGGGGTCGGGGAGGGGCTGGGTGAGAGTGGTGTGTAAGCATACAAACTGAGCAGCAAGCAGTAAATGAGCCATAAGGATCTAACACACAGTAAAATGAACACAGACAATATTGTATTATAATCGTGTAATATGGTAAACATCACCACACAGCAGTCATTACAACATATAAATGTATCAAAGTAACATGCTGTACCTTAAACTTATACAACGTTTCATGTCAAATTTACTGTTTTTAAAAATCAAGAAAAAAAGTTGAATCATCTGTAGGTTAAAAGATTACCATGAAGCACCAATTTCCTTCATAATTAAAACAAGTTTTTCAAGAGACTTAAAATGATACATTGAGCAACAAGTAGAATTTATAAAGAGGGGCATAACTCATGTGCATGCCATGGATTCTTCAAACTCCTAGCACAGTGGCCAGCAAAGTATCTAAGCTTCGCTATTAGCTTCATCACTCACTGGAGGTTGAGTAAGAGAAGCAACAGCTCAGTTACCACAGATACCTCATGGAAACAGAAGAAGCTAAAAAGAGCATATATTTGAATAGGTGGCCAAGGGAGCAATTACATTCACCTAGCAAAGGGAGTAACACAATTTTAGACCAGGAAAAAAGCACACAGCATACCAAACTTGAATGAGAGAATGAAACAGGAGAGGAAGTGAAACATGCAGCAATTTCAGAATAGTTGCATTAAAAACTGGAAGGCATCTACCAAACGGGACCAGCTGTCCACTAAGGCTACTTGCAAGTCATGGTAAGGCCAACCTTCTACATTAAACTTGCGTTATCTAAACCAGCACTGTTTGAAGGTACAGACTTGAAAGAAAATATCTCATAAAGGATTTGAATTCAAAACAATAAAATAATCAAGTTTTTAAATGGGCAAAAGATTTGAATTGACACTTCACCAAAGACAGTAAATGGGTTCTAAGACGGTCACTCATAATGTAAAAAGCAAAATGCCATACACACCTATTAAAACTGAAGAATATACTAAATTCTGGTAAGAATGCACAGTAACTGGAACTCTCAAATTGTAGGAAATTAGAAAACAGTAAGGTCACTTTGGAAAACAGTTTGACCGTTTCTTAGAAAAATACCCTATGACCCAATCCCATTCCTAGGTGTTTTATCAAAGTGCAGTAAAAACATGTTCATGCAGAAACCTGTATGTGAATGTATCAGCTTTATTCATAATTGCCAAAAGCAAATAGCCTTTCAACTAATGAATGAATAAATTCCATCCATATAATAGAATACTCAACAACAAAAAGAACTGAAGTACTGATAACATCATGGATGGATCTCAAAAGCATGGTAAATGAAAAGCCAGCCTCAAAAGGCTCCATTTGTATAGCGTTACAGAAAGTTAAGTTGGAAAAAGCTAGTGTAAAATGATGCCAGGAACTTCGATGGAATAATCCTCATGGATAAGGCAAAAGCAAGGACATCATGTAGACAGACAGCCCTTCCCCTGGTGTGACTCCCCATCAGTCCATTCTGGTGGTTCATGACGTGCTTATGATGGCTTCTATTCAAAATACAATAGCCATACATATTGAAGAATGGGGATTTTAAAATCTGAAGCTGCTCTTAAGGATCTGATAATTCTTGCATCAAATGTATGAAAGCAATGCAATACCTATCAAAATACCAGTGGCATTCTTATCAGTACTAGAACAAATAATCCTGAAATTTCTATGGACTCTCAAAAGACCACAAATAGCCACAACAATCTTGAGAAAGAACAAGGCTGGATATACCACACTCCCTGACTTCATGCTATATACTACAAAGCCACAGTCATTGAAGCAGCATGGTACTGGGACAAAAATAGACACATCAGTGGAACAGAATAGAGAGCCCAGAAACAAACCCTTGCTTATATGGCCAATCGATGACAAAGGAAGCAGGAATTTACAATGAGGAAATGACAGCCTCTTCAAAAAAGCATTGCTGGGGAAAACTGGACAGATCATGCAAAAAAAGAAAGAAATCGGACCGCTTTCTTGCACCATATACAAAAATGAACTAAACAAAGACAAGGTGAGACCTGAAACCATAAAGCTCCTAGAAGACAACACAGGTAGCAAACTGACATTAGCCTCAGTACTGTCATTATGGAGATGTTCCCTCAAGCAAGGGAAACAAAAGCAAAAGTAAGCAAATGGAATATTACTTGGAAATAAAAAAGAATGAAATCTTGTCATTTGCAACAACATGGATGGACCTAGAGGGTACCGCCAAGTAAGATAAGTAATAAATACTGGAATGTTTCACTTGTATGTGGAATTGAAAACAAAAACAAAAACAGACTCACAGGAACTGATGGTTGCTGGGGGGAAGGGTGGGGGGTGACTAAAAAAGGTGCAGGGGAATACAGTCAATATTATTGTCATAAGTGTGCATGGTGACAGATGATTACTAGACTTAGTGTAATAAAAAAGTTTAAGATTAGAAAAGGCAACAAGAAAGGGAGACAGAAAAATCAAAAAAGACTAAAGTTAGAAGAAAACACCTTCACATATCAAAATTTCAAAAATGTTGACATAATTGACTAATGCACAACATAAAACATACAAAATTAAAATTCACATAAATATGGGTGGAAATATAAAGCAGCAAGCAGCTAACAGGAGCGAAAAATGTTCTGAAATACATAACACGTATTAAAAAGATAGGAAAAGCAGAGCCAAAACCCAACAGTAATAACCAGAAGCAATTCGGGGATAAAGACCTGAGTAAAGTTCTTTAGGTTGGAAAGGGATGTTTGTTTTGGCTCCTCAGGAAAGAAACGGAAAGGCAGAGAGCAGAGAAGCCTCTCCTTCCCCCTGGTTCCAAGAACAGCACTGAGCCCCAGGTGGAGGCGTGGCTCCGTGCGCCCACAGCCCAGCGCGGCCTGCAGACTGCTCGTGAGCATCCTGAGTGGGTTCTGTTATTGGCGAGGCTCACTCTTACAATCATGCCTTGTACACAGCTCAGAAATACAGTTTGCAAGTAAAAGTAAAATCTTACTAAACATAATGTATTGCTTTTTTAAAAAATAAATTAACATTCATAATAGAACACCAAGTTAGATTTAGCCTAATGTATTAACAAAGCCATAATATACTCTATTAGACAAGGACTTCCAGCTTGCTCTATTCCTAAATAAGAAATAAGTCAATCAGACACTTGGTTTAGTTAGGAGAAAATCTTGGTCACTGCCACTTAACCCCATAAATCCTACTGTTTGATATGTAAGGGGAAACTTAGCATGGGGTTCCTCCCTGAGACAGGCACAGGAAAGTGCCAAGCTTAGGGAAGAAGAAAGACTTACTGCAAGTTGGAGCTGAAGTAAAAATTCTATTTCCAATACCTTGGGGAAGTGGAAGGGATGTGTACTATAATCACCAGGTCTACACGGATGACACTTGGATCATACGAGAGCCCAGGGTAAGACTGTGTGTGTGGGATGGTCATGTCCTAATTGTTTCTTGGAGTTTGGAAGTGCCACCGGTCTCACAGGCATATTCAGGGTTGAAAGAGATGCCGACGCGGTGCCTTCCTCAGATGCCACAGTGGCTAGTTAGTCCCCTGCCCCCAGAGGACTAACAAAGTGGCTCTCCTTTCCTTAAACACACTGGCTCAGTATCAGGAGTAGAGGTAGGGAGGTACTGTCAACTTCAGAAGAGCTGACTCCACAGTTTATCCCGCAGCGGATGCATTAGGCGTTTCAGAGAACCTCAATGAGACTGTCAGTAATGAGCAATCACCTTTTTATACAAATGAGACATTTCTTACAAGTCCCTTGGGTTTGGCTTGAAAGCTCCTCTGGCGTTCTAGAGGCAATCAGACTCCGGTCCCGTTGCTGAGCATGTCTTCACACCACCCCCTGTTTCTGGCCTCTGGGTACACAGAGGCGTGGCACTGCTGCATGGCGCGCTCCAGCTCCTCCAGCTGGCGGCAGCCGATGGTTAACCTTTCCCTAGGGAAGAAACGTCCGTCACTGCACCAGCCTGCCAGGTAAGTGAAAACATCTTAACACAACAGGATGGCACTGGGGTGTGAAACACATTCTTTGATATTTGAGAGAGAAAAATACCAAGAGTTACGGTTTCTTAGCACAGACAAAACACGGGAGGATAATAGGCACTTAGACTAGTTCTCAGTCAACACGAAGATCGTGATGCAGTTCCTTGAATTCAGGAGTATGGGTTCTCATGGCAAACCTGCTGCCAACAGGCAAAGCTGGAGGCTTAAACACAGTCCCCTGTGTGGCCTCTGAAGGACCTCCCCCAGGAGTTGGGCTGGTGTGACCACGTTTTGATCCGAGGGGTAAGCAAGGCCTGGGGAGCGGGTGTAGATCACATTTTTTGTCTTATTTAGCTTGGGAGTTAAAGAACAGGTAGGCTGGAGGATATAAGAGAATGCACCTCCTGCCGGCAGCACACTAGAGAGGGGATAGGACGTTGACAGAGCATCTCTAAGCGGAGGTGGAAGCAGAGAGTAATGACCAATGTATGCCATGCCTATGCATAATTTTACCTGAGCTGAAGCCTATGTGGGCTCTCAAGTGTCTACAGAGTCCAGATCCCATTGGAACCTATTTAAATGTACTAGGAAGTCACCTATATAAGTTCATGAAGAACACCCAGCATCTAGCACAGCGTCTGGCACATTAGGTATTCAAGAAATGACAGTTACTTTTATTACGTAAATGAGTTATTACTTCCTTGGCTTCTATGATCACTCCAAGCCATCTCCATGGTATTGGGGAAGATCACTAGCTACCTCTCCCTGCCCACCCCGGCCCCCACGGATGCCTCATGTGGGTTACAAAGGAAAACAAAGGCAATCAGTACTCAGGGAACGAACAGGCTGGGGAACAGTGGCGGCAGCAGAAGTAAATGCACCATATTCTGAGTGGCCTCGAGTCCTGAGGATGTATGGTGTGTGTGAAGCTGACTAAAACCTGACTTTCGGCTTTGTGTTACTGTAGTCCTGCTTTCTATACTTGGATTGCTTAAAATTTGGTGTTACGTTGCTGCCAATTCTTCACAACTGCTCATAAAATGATTTCCGGAGGACCCCCAGAGATCCAAAATGAAAGAGAAGTTTTCTTCAAATTTAAAAATGCAACGCGTCCCTATTGCTGTTCTTGATTATTCTACATATGAGAACTGCTCCATTGGTAACTAGACTTTAAGATTTGTGTCTTTTCTTCCTGCCTTCTCCTCTCACAGTTATAAGGTGAGTTCCTCTGCTCTTCTCATCCCTGTGGCATTTGGTCTCTTTATTTGTAAGTCACCTGCAGATTCTGTTTCCTGCAGCAAGCTGTCATTGCTGACTAGGGAAGTATCAGGTGTTTTTCATCTTGTATATTTGGTCTATCCTGGAGTACAATGACAGGAATTCTTGAGTTCCTTCTGCCCACGGCTTATATGTACAAAGACAGAATAGTAAGCGTGAGGTCACCTAAGCACCTTTGCCTGCCATTCTGCAATAAATCATCTCACCAGGCGTGGCTGTGAGAGGCAGTCCACTCACTACATGTTTTGATGTCTCTTAGTTGCTCAAAAGTCCCTCCTTTATGCTGGGCCTAAAAACCCCAGTGATCTGACCTGAATCTTAAAACAAAACAAACTCATTATCCCTTTGTCCTCCAACAGAACAAATATTTTGTCTCAGAGTGATCCTATTTCTTTTTTCCAAACCCTTTCTGGAGCAGAGATCAAGACTGGAGGTGGCTTCCAGTTCTGTGATTCTATGCCGCGTATTGAGAGCTCTGCCAACAGATCAAAATAAGTGGAAAAAAAGTTTAAATCAATGAAAAAAAAACCCAACCCCAAAACGCCATCATTTGATTAATTTCCATGACTAATTTTGTCCAAATGGAATGGTAGTGGTGAATTCAAGTGACCTAATTCCAATTTCTGATACAATTTTTCCAAAATTCTTTGTAGGTACAATGAGGAAAGTCTAAAATGGGTATTTGTTTTACAACTCTCTGCACTTTGGCATACATTTGAAATGTATGCCGGACAAGGATGCCCACATCCTTTCTGCTCAACATAGTATTGGAAGTTCTACACGGAATAACCCTCCCCCCATACAAAATAGGCATATGGATTGTAAATAAAGAAGTAAAATTGTAGATCCTATAGAACCCACAAAATAACTGTTAGAGCTAATAAACCGTTTCTGCAACACTGCAAAAAGCTCAACACAAAAAATCAGTTGCATTTCTATACACTAGTAATTCACGATTTGAAAAGGAAGTAACAATGGCAGGAAACATTCCATTTATAATAACATGAAAAAGATCAAACTACTGAGGAATAAACTTAAGCAAAGAGGCACAGACCTGTACACGAAAAACTTTAGTACATTGCCAAAAGAAATAAAAAACCTAAATTAATGGCGTCCCATGTTCCTAGACTGAAAAACTTAATGCGCTGGTAACAGACCCCGGGACAATCAACATACTTAATGCAATGCCTGTCAAAATCCCAAGTCTTTTTTGCAGGAATGGAAAGGCTGATACTAAAATTTACATGGAATTTAAAAGACCCCCCCAAAAGCCAAATCTTGAAAAAGAAAAATAATGTTAGAGGACTCACACTTCCCAATTTTGAAAACTTACCCTAAATAACTTCAACCAAAACAGTGGTACTGGCACAAAGACAGACCCACAGACCAGTGGAACTGAACTGAAATACCAGACATAAAGTTGCCTCACACACAGTCAACTGACTTTCGACAAGGGTGTCAAGACCGTGCAACGTGGAAAGAGTAGCTTCAACAAATGGTGCTGGGACAACTCAACGTCCACAAGCAAATGAATGAAGTTCAACCCACACCTCACACCATACACAAAAATTAACTCAAAACAAATCAATGAGATTCGTTAGAGTTAAAACTATAAACTTCTTAGAAAAACTTTGGGGTAAATATCCATGACCTCGGCTTCAGCAATGGATTCTTAGATATGACACCAAAAGCCCAAGCAACAGAAGAAAAAACTGCACAAATTGGATGTTACCAAAATTGCAAACTTTTCAACTGTAACTAAAAAATAAAAAATTTTAAGTAAAAATAAAAACGCAAGAACCTATGTAATTTACTCAGCAAAAAATTCTGTTTTGTCCCTTTGGGACAGTATAAACAATTCATGTTTTAAAGCAAATACGCAAATAATCCAGCAGCACTTCTGATACAACTCAGTCCCGGTGCGGTGACTGTAGTGTGCTTCCCCTCTGCCTCCCGGGTGCTCGCCCCAAGCACCTGCTCAGTGTGACACTGAATAGCTTTGCAGCGTTTAGTTCCAAGATTCTTCTGCTCTTTGTGTCTTTGATATTTTGTCTGGTTTCTTATCTGGCAATGTTATTTTGCGGCAAAGCATACATAAAATATGATTAAACAAATCTCTTTCTCAAAAAATCATTAAAAACTTTGTACATCAAAGGATACTATCAAGAAAGGGAAAAGACAACTTACAGAATGAGAGGGGGGAGAAAAACACTTCAGGCTAGGCCTCCAGAAAGAGATCTCTGCACAAGTGCTTCAGGCAAAGCCTCCAAAGGAGGCCTCCCAAGGAAGCTGCCTGCATTTGGCATGCAGGTACAGGGGTGGGCATGGCTGCCCAGGGACTAGGGTCCGAGCACAGCCCACACCCCAACCCTAACCCGGCCAAGGCTGCAGCCCAGTGGCTGCGCTCCGAATCTGGGGTGGGGAAGGCAGCGCTCCCCGACGGACGCTGCCAGGTAAAGCCACGTAACTGCAGCCCAGGATGCCTATGAATGCGGCCCAACACAGAATTGTAAATTATGCAGGGACCTTTTTCTTTGCTCATCAGTTTTCATTAGTGTTTGTGCATTTAATGTGTGGCCCAAGACAACTCTTCTTCCAGTGTGGCCCAGAGACGCCTAAAGGTTGGACACCTGCACAGCACAGTGAATGCTCCCGATGCCACTGAACTGTACAGTTTAAAGTTGTTAATTTTGTTACAGAAATTTTACCTCAATTAAGAAAAGTACATACTTTTATTTTACATTATCTTCTATCACAAATAATGAAGTCAAATTTACTGCAAAGTATTACTGCACCTAGAGACATAAATAATGTAATTCTCTTCTACTTAAAGCAGAAACATCAAAGGTCTTAAATCTGAGTTCTAGATTCTTCTTCTCTAAGGCTTTTTTTCAGTCGAGGCTTCTTGGACACAGGGGTTCTCAAACTTCGGCGTGGCCTGGAGGGACTGGAAAATAGATTGCTGGGCTCTACCCCCAGACTTGATGATTCAGGAGGTCTAGGGCAGAGCCCTAAGGTCTGCATTTCTTCCAAGTCCCCAGGTGACTGACGTTGACCCTGGGGTCCAGGAACCACAGCTCAAAGACAACCTCAAAGCCGTTACTGGGGAGCTGGTTCTGGGGGTTAGGAAGCACTCACTCCTGAAAGCACTTGCCACAGGGAAGGAAAGCTTCTGGTACACGTACCTTCTTAGGCAGCATATTAGCTGGATATGCCAGGTACTTTACAAGGCTGCTGTTACAACTAGTTTGCATTTTGTGTAGAAGAAATGACCTTAGGGACTCGCTGCGCAAACATGCCAGAACACTCTCTCAAAGAACTTACAGGGCAAAGTGAATTAAACACTTCTAGCTTATTTCTCATACACATAAAAGATATCACACAAGATATATGTGTCTGGTATCTGTCTGACAATCTCATTAATTTACCATCTGCGTTCTCTGAGGCAACCCCTCCTCTGCTCAGGGTGTACAGTAAGACCAAACGCCACGTCAGAGAGTCTACAAACTATGGAAGGCAGGACACTAACCAGTTCATAGTGTGAAGACCAAGGTTCCCCAGTGCCATGGAATTCAACTCTTGATCAAAGCCACTTTCAATGTAAAACCTTAATTTCCTGCTTTATCAGACCTATAAAGAAGTTGTATGTTCTTCAGCTATTTAATTACATCCCTACTGCAATAAATATGGTGTCGGGCACATGAACTATGTCCTTCCTCACAACTAACACTGTGTAACAAAAACCAAGGAACAGGAAATTCAGACACTTTAAGTAATTGCTTTTCTTAACATTGCCAAATGCGGCCAGCTATGTGAAAGTTCAACCACTCCTCTGCACCTCCGGACCACAGGAAAACGCTAACACCCTCTACGTACTGCGTTTAACCCTGCGTCTGACATGAACCACTGACACCAAAAGAAGGTCTCTCTTGGCAGCTTGTCTGGAAACCGTGAGCTGGGCACGATACGGGAGGCCAACACAGGAGACACCGTTCACTGTGAACGGGGCAAACAGTTCCAAAACGAACAGCAGGTTAACAAATCTAAAAGCTATGAATCAAAAGCCTGCTGAACAGCAATTGCCATTTTTCAACTCATTCAAGATATTATATATTTGGTTTCAAAATCACCTTTCTGGGTATAAGAGTGGGCTTGTTAATACCATAGTTCAAACCCCTGGGATTGTAGGTGGAAAGAAAACAAAGGAGACAAAAACAGGTACAACTGCTTTAACTCTGAAAATTCAACTTTGACCCCTACCCCCTCTCCACCTCCCACCCCCCCTCCAAAAACCCCTCCCCAATTATTCCAACAGTAGGTTGAACTTGAAATAATTTAGACATGTGAGCCATCCTGCAAGGGACTCAGCCCTCCAGGTTATCTAGAGTGGGCTTTCCACGCTTCTGAACGCATGGCTGAGGCTGAGACACTATTTTTTACACAGATCTCATGTACACGACCTTCAAGTATAAGCTGTCTATAAAGATCTATAAATAAGAGTACAACTGATTAATTGATAGTCTGCAGATGACAGTAAAAAATCATTCTTGCCACCAGGAACAACATCATGCAGGCCCACTGGCTTCAGGTTTTCTTGGAAAACTTCTTCGATTCTAATGAGCGCACTTTCACAGCTGTACTGCTTAGTAACATTTGTGTATGATTATCAATCCTAGTGTCTTGATCATCAAATAAATTCATCAATTGAGAGTTTTAACAGAAGCGCTTTGATTGTCAACCCTGTCCCTGAACCTGTACACAGAATTCCGTTGCAACACAGGTGTATTTGCACAGTACCAACAGCAAATAAACAGTGACTGAGTGACTGTGTTCCAGTGACTGGGCATATTACCCAGCAGTGGAAAAACAGACAGTTCTGCTACAGTGCCTGTTCCACACACACAGATTTGTTCCAACTACACTGATATATTCAAGAACAATTTGAGCACATAACACAAGTTTCACATTTTTTCACATGTAATTTCAGCAGTGAGAGATGCTAGGTGAGCAGAGAAAACTGCACCCAGCTGAGCCAAGCTGCTTAGGGACATACAACACACACTCATGCACACACCTCAGAAATGCACCGGCTCCCTGAGCTTCCTGTGGCTGTAGGCCACATCCACTCACACCTGGTGCTGCAGCCTCACATCCAATTTCAGATGTCCCTCCCCCAGCACATCACATGAACCGACCAGCTGCAGCTCTTCCAACGACCACTTCCACGAGCAATCCCAGCTCTTTTTCAAGGTCAAGTGTCCATTTTATTATAGCATTTATGTACTTCCTAACTATTGAACATGTGTAAATCTGTGATATCATTTTGATTTTTTAATGCACTCCTGATTAGGTTTTTGAGTGACACGCCCCAACCCATTTGTTCTCACGAGCCCCGTGATCTTCGCTGCGTGATTCTGCACAGCGCAGGGGTGACGACAGGAACACACACGTCACGTGATGACGGGACTGTAAACCACCCCCAGCTCCACGTCCCCACAAGGCGAATCTCACTGCTGACTTACAAGACAGCGTGGGGTGGAGGGGCAGGGGGTGTGAGACTGGAGGGCAACACTGAATGGGTTGAGTAAATGGACTTTTTGCTCCTCAGGGTTCGTCTGGGCCCAGCGTTAGGCCTATACCCTCTCTCTGCATACAAAAATCAGATATAGACTCCTTTTTTATTACATATGAATGCTATGAACCAAATTATTTGTTTAAAGAATATATACAGAGTGATTCCACTAAGTTAAAAAACAGGTGCAATTTAATTCACATATTTTTAAGTAATAATATGCAGCAAAACCATAAAGATCAGGTTGAGAATGATAAACACAAAATCACTCGAGAGGATGGAAGAGAGAACACAAATAGAAATGGGTGCAGGTCTCTTCTGTCAGCGGAAAGGGAGGCATGTGTGTTCTGTACACCAGCTGTTCTTCAAAACATGGTCCGAGGATGGTCGGCCTCTTTCAAAGGGTCTGTGAGGTCAAAGAGGTCAAAGCTATTTTCTTACTAAGACTGAGACATGGTCCGCCTTTTGCAACGATACACTCACTCTTGCAATGGCGCACAGCAGTTTTCCAGGGACATGTGGTACAATTATGGAAACAGAGTAAATGCAGCAGCTATGAGAACCCAGCTTGCTCCTACTAAACCAGACACTGAGAGAACTGCAAACACACACAATGCTACTCTTGTCAGTAATATTTTTTGTTTGGAAAAAATTCTCTTCATAATTCCATGTTATTTGACATGTACTTAATTGGCTACTGTTATTTTCAAACAAATAAATATTTTAAATTTATCCATTTTTATTTCTAAAACAGTAAATATTGATAAATATGACCCACATAAACAAAAGCTCTTTTGGAGTCTTCAATAACTTTTTAAAATAAAGAGTCTTGACGCCAAAAATTTTGAGAACCACTTTAAACCTCATACCTGCTATACAAACATACACACACAGCCCTTTTGTATGTAGGAAACATATTTCCTACTAATAAAGGTAAAAAATCACAGTGTAGTGAAGACATAAAAAAACCCTTCATCACCAGCAGAAGCTTAGTCAATGGCTTATCTGTACACAGATAAGACTTACCGATACTCAGTCTGTGAAACACAATCATAAAGCTCCTGGGCAGTAAATCTGACACTTTCATTTACCTGAAAAGAACCAAGATACAGCATTAAAAATATATATTAAATCACATGAGTAGTAAGAGTACAATTAGAGTGGTCCATGTTCTGAGGGAGCAGAAAGTCCAGTTTCTAGTTTTGCATAAAAGGGACAGAACAGTAAGCATCAGAAGCTCAGTGACCATAATGCTAACACTGAACGACGTGTGAAAATATTGCACCTATTGTTCAAGCCCGATCTGTTCACAGCACCAGAAGTGAGAGGGGCCTGGGGTCAGCGAAAGTCTCAACAAAGCAGATGATCGCTCTGTACATCAAATGGACAAAAAAACAAACAAAAAAACAAACAAAAAACAAACACATACCCCACGCAACTGATTCATGCTTCAGCTATCCTAGCCTCTTAAAATATTTCCAATTTTAAATATTTATCTTCTAGACAAAGTAAATGAAATGTAAAAAAGTAAAATTTAAAATAAATAAAAACTTAAAGGGCTGGAGTGCACTTGGGGACACGTGGGTGGGCCACTGCAAGCAGAAGCAGCCACATCTTGCTACATCCAGAACAGAAAAAATTCAAGCTGAAGGAAAAAGTCAAGACTTCAACTCTAACAGCACTTGAGTACTATGGCTGACCGTTCCGAAGTTGTTACTGAGTAAACCTTCACTTCCATTTAAATACAAAGGTTGTAAACTATGTGGAAACATCTACCTGTTTAAGAAAAAAAGTCTGATTTGTAGACATTTTCTAAAGAAATGTATTTTTCAGACTGCTGAGGTCTAATTCTTTAAACTAACATGTTTACATCCATGAATGTGTAATGAACTTAGACAATACGAACAGTCCTTCATCACACACCGACTAGGCGTGGTGCACAAGCAGGGGACGCGGTGCAGGGATTCCCTGTCTCTTGAGGCTTGCTGGTGATTTGGCTTACAGCTTACTTCTGTGTAGGGAAGACTCTAGAACTGTAGAGGGAAATTCTTTTTATCAGACAACTCAACAAAGAGCATAGTGCCTAAAGACTCAGAAATTCTGAATTAGTAAAAGGGAGATGAAATGAGACCATCCTCTATTTGACTTATCTAAAGTATTGTTAGTTGGTATGCACTTTTTTGTGGGGAAAAAAATGCCTCCATCCTGATTTAATTACTACTACTTTAAAGATTCATATCATGAAAGTCTTCTATAGAGTTAAAGGTATTATTTGCAAAAATTCCATGAGCTTCTTCAGTAGTTTCATAAGAAAGTCACCATATTTGTGTAGAAAATGTTTCATTCACTGAAAGTTAAAACTATATAGTTTTTAAATATAACATTTGAAATGCACATAATCCTAAATTTTTGCTTAATATTTGTTAATTATATATAATAATACATTTAGTGAATGTATTAAGTTGGTATATAATTTATCACAGTTAACTTTTTAGGTACTTTATAATTTTTACTAAAAGTGTCTTCTAAAAACATCCTAAAATATGCATTTAAACTATCAACCAGTCCAATTTCTACTTCTTCTTTTTTTAAGATTTATTTATTTATTTATTTATTTTTAGAGAGAGGGGAAGGAAGGGAGAAAGAGAAGGAGAGAAACATCAAGGTGTGGTTGCCTCTCTCATGTGCCCCCTACTGGGGACCTGGCCCGCAACCCAGGCATGTGCCCTGACTGGGAATCAAACCGGTGACTCTTTGGTTCATAGGCTGGCATTCAATCCACTGAGCCACACCAGCCAGGGCCAATTCCTACTTCTTCACATGTTCTGCTCTGGTCTCGGGGCCTTTGACATTTTCACGATTGCCCCAGCATACCAGAACCTGTAACATGTCAAACTTGGGCAAGCGAATGCTAACTACACTGCAGATGCCTGATCAGAGGATGAAGGGAATCGCCTGTTCTCCATCAACTGTTGAGAACAGTCACCTGAAGGCTGGTTTTGAACGTGATACAATATGAACCTGAAGTCGTTCCTTAGGCCTTTAGTAGATTTTTGGAAAAATGAGTACTAGATGGCTCTTTAGTTTTAAAAGTGACCATCCAGATCCAGTGGACACTTATCCCAGAATACAGCTGGAGCACAAGGGTGCTATGGGTCCAAGTCATAGGTGACTTACCAAAAAGGCAGTTAATTTGCTACTAACAGGGAAAACTAAAACCAAATTAATGACCTATATGGAAGATTCTAGCCTGCAATATCTTGTTTCATCATATTCATTAATTCTGACTCAAACCATTTTCAACCGCATTAGGACATTTTAAATTATACTGTTAAATATCATTCTGTGCTTGCTGTACAATTTTAATTCCCAGGGAGTAAACAGTTAAAAGATGCCTTTGTCAGTAAACATTATTAATGTGGATTATGGAATTGGAGTCATTAATTTATTTACTATTACAAAGAATGCCGAATAGTACAAAGTGGCTATATTATTTTTAATTCTTAAAACTTCAAGAACAAAAGGTAAAGATTAATATTAAAACAGCCAAACATCTTAAAAACTTCAGATGGCCCTATCACTGTTTATGATAAAATGAGATAAATATCTCCAATGTAGTAATTGGTATAGAAAAGAAAGTTTTGCTAAGAGAAATGACTTAAAAAATCTGGAAATCAATTCCACATATTCTTACAGATATGTTAGCTATTTTCTCCCAACACTTTAAGCAACAGGAAGCCCTAAAAAGACCTATGTCCCAGATTTTTCCAGGGTAAGTGATTTTAAAATTATGTTATTTCCACAAATATATTTTTGTTAGAATTAATAACTAAATTTGAAATTCAGAAAGAATGGTGAAATAATTAAATATATGTGAATCATGTCAAATGAGGAAATCCTGATCACATAATGTGGTTAAGGCTGATTTTTTAAAAAGCACACGTAAACACTGTTAACGCCGAACACTTCCTCTGTGCCTGGTACTGTAAAGAGCACTGTCCATAGGGATATTAAGTTACTTAGGTTTAAAGAATACTGTAACTTTTATATACTGGTATTATGCTCACTTTACAAGTGAAGAAACTGGGACAAAGAGAATTAAACAGGTGGCAGAACCACACTGCACACTCAGTCATGGTTTCTTACTGTCAGGTGTTGCATACAAACAGCTAAATGAGAAACTAAGCAGGAATGAGTGAAGAAACACATTTAAAGGAGTTTGACTCCATAAGAAATGTGAGATGTGGATATACATCATATTCCTTTAAGCAGAGCATTTTAAAAATCACACAGACACTTGAATAGAAAGAATATACGGGAGCACAGGCAAAGAGCTCTAGGCAAATGGGAACCAAAGATCAGCAGGACACTTTCCTGGGACCCGCAAGCAGGAGGAAAGCGCACAGGCTCATTTACCAAACACCCTGGGGCCCCACCACAGCCGCCTCCAGGGTCTATGCTGTGGAGGAAGAGGTGGAGGAGGAAGAGGAAACTAAATCACAGCCTTCCTTCTCAGTGACCTGTGCTTCCGGACCAGAGGTGGGTTCTCACCCCCCAGGGGCCAGCTGGGGCGCTGAGCAGGGCGGGATGTCTCTGGCTGTCACGTGACCAGGGAAGCTACTGACAGGCAGCATCTGAGGAGCAGGAACGTTAAACGATAAGCCGTGTCCACACAAGAAGTAATGTAACCTGTCCAAAAGGCCAACAGCTCCTGATGACAAGCAATTCTGTGTTGTCAGAAGTGTATTATTATAGGATTCTAGTCTGTGTTTTTACTTAGAGAACCAAAAACAAACACATCATGTACTGGGAAACTTCTGTGGCACCCAAGAATTCCCAGCAAGTATCAATGAAATAACATTCCATTACGTTCTAGAACTCTACCATGTGAATTTATATTAAAATTTCTGTATGGTGGGAATATGTTAAACATTTTAAAATATTTCTCATACCTCATACTTGATTAAGACGTTATAGAGAGTCTCAACATCTTGATAACTACTGTTGGGGACCAAAATCCTAGAAAATAAAATATAATAAAAGAATGAATGGTTAAAAAAATAGCTGAACTTTTTTTCAAAAAACGTATTCATATTGTGAGAGATAACTTGTATAACCATCTTAGAATGTTTACAAACTTTTTTGGTTGTAATCAATAAAAAATTATAAAATCATGAGCTTAATGAAACAGAGCAATTCACTAAAGTATTTTTGCTTATTTACACTGATACTTACATCATCAATTAATCAAGAACCATAATCATTCTGTGAAATTATAGTTCACATTTTGGGTTATGATATTGATTTCTCAAAAGGTACACAGAAATATTAAGTGCGTTTACACTCCATATCTTTTAAGCTGCAGATAAAGCTGCAAGATCTCCCCTGGAAGTGTCCAACCAATCCAGACAACTGATTAAACTATGAGACACACATTCTAATAAAAGCTTTTGTGACTAAATTCAAATAATATTGTCTGAACTATCAGCCTAGCATTATATGAAAAAGCATTAGCAATCAGACTGTTACTAACAGTGACTCATAAAAATAACATAAAATGTAAACATATAAATAACAAAAACACCAAAAAATGGAAACAAGGAAAAAATAAAAATAGTAAAGATGATGGCAAAACATCTCCTTCTAGCAGGAATGGAATAATTCTCATTTTCCTATACAAGTATTTTTTAATTCTTTCAAGATGAAGATTTTTTTTTATTTTGAAAAAAGAAAAGGAAACATTCCTTTCAATATGGTTATCAGCAATGTCTGCTTAGGTTTGTTGAACTATGTGACCTTGTTCTGTGTGACTTATTTTCGTTATCTGTTAAATGAGGATGGTAACAGTCCATACTTCACAAGGTTATTGTGAGAATTAAATAAGCTACTATATGAAAAGTCTTTATAACAGTGCCCGATATTCAGCAAGCACCATGTATCAATTATAACAGTAGCAACTATTAGCATCATCTAATAGTTTCAAGCCACAGAGTAAGTGCATAAAGATCTAACGAAAGAGAAACCAAACTACCCCCAATTAATTCTTAAATTCCAAGAACCTTTTTAATTATAACAATGTCTCTAGGAGCATTTGAGATCTGGCTCCCAGCATATGTGGTCAGTTTGGCTTAAATAAACTCTTATAAAAATTAAAAAAAAAAAACAAAACAAAAACAAAAAACAAACAAACGAAGTCTCTAGGTCCTCTCATCCTCCTCAATGCTTGATATCGTCAGGGTTGTTGTCATTGTTAGAGTTATATGACCTCAAAATAATCTTATTAGATCTTTAATCTATTTGGCTTTTATTTGACTGCAGGAGACCTTTTATAAATAATTTCTCAGGATATAGTCACAGTTTCAAAGGGGCTATACTCCCTTGGAGGAGACATACACAAAATATCTTTAAGAATATACAGAAATCTAAGTAATAATACCATTTCATGGAAAAAGATTTTCTCCCAACAATCTTAAAATACGTCTCCTAATCCTCCCCCCTCCAAAAATAAAAATAAAAAAGACAGAGGATAGTATGATATATAGGGAGGAAGGGTCCATAAATAATTTGCTTAAAATGGTGAGAACAGAGCTATCTATAAGTTAAACCAATCTTTCGGTAAGATGAAGGAAAAAACAGGGTTTTCTAACTCTGTTGTAAGTTAGTCTGTAAACACACTATCAGCAAAGCAGACTGACTGACACCTATACATTTTTAGTACAGCTTTGGAAATACTCAAAAAGAGGGTTAGAAAACTAGATCAAACGAGATGTTTTATATTAAGAGCCTTATAAATTCCGAGCTGATTAGTGCAAAAGAAAGTACTTTACTAGACAATAAAATTAACATTTCTTTATCCTGAAATGCTTTACAGAAAAACTAGTTTTTAGAAAAGTCAGTCATTTATCTATAGCGACAAGTCATAAACAAAGAAAGAAACAAAAGAATTACATTACCCTAAAATGTTAAACCCCCAGCCTGACTTTATTTTTCAGTTTTACTGAGGTGCAGCTTACATACCACAACACCCACTCATTTTAATAAATGTACTGAGCTGCACAAAAATCGCCACGATCCAATTTTAGACCATTTCCTTCACCCAAAGAAAGGTCCCTCCGGCTCATTCGAAGTCATTCTCTGTTCTCACCTCCAACCCCAGTCCCAGGCATCCACTACTCTACGTCCTGTTTTCCCAGTCTTTAAGATCTTCCCTTCTCACTCTTGCCAAAGCATAGTTGTGACTATAAAGAAGAGAGCACACTAAATACAGAGTCTATAAGAAGAGCATACTAACTACAGAGTCTGCTAGATGAGGCAAACTCTACTGGGTAGCGGCTAACTCTCACAGCATCTGCTGTAAGTAAAAATGCAAGATACACACTGAAAATGCCCAGATCAGAGTAAGACCCCCCCACATTCTCTCACTCAACAAATATCTGAGGCCTACTGTGAGCCACGCACTGTTCCAGGCCCTTGGAAACAACAGTGAACAGAAAGGCAAAGATTCGGAATAGACCAAAGCATCACAGTTCTAAAAAGCCTAGAAAGAAAAAAAATCCTGACCCACCACAGGAAGACAGTGAAGAAAATTATCTCGTTTTCATCCATTTAACTTTCTTCTTTGCACTTTTTAATTGCTACTTTGAAACAAACTAGTTTGCAAATTATTTCTCCAAATGTAAACACTTGAGTAGTTGATAAAATAGCACAGAATTATCTTCTAATGAAGAAAGGTCTATTGGTATGTCAGCTATATTACTGTTATAATCTGAATAAAACTAGACATGTTACTTCTTAGAACTAGAATATACATCATAAATTTGGTTATAAAATGTTTTATCCTTAAAGAATGTTTTCCGGTAAACTGAGCCACAAATAGACTAGACAACCTTTATTAAAATACATTCAATTTAAGGTTAAATTTAGACTTCATTACATCCTATGAATGCTGAGTTTATGAGAATGGAATTCTGCCTGTATAAAAAAAAGTTGCCAACTTTTACTAACTAAAAGTACAGCTTGTTGAACATACACAGAAAATAAAATGGAGAGACACGATTTATGAACTTTCATGCCTCAGTAATTCCCCACACAAAAATTCTTGAGAGGTCAGCCTTCTCTATAGCTTTCTCATGGATTTTTTTTACAGCAGTATGAAAACAAAAGACCCTTTGAATGAAAGTCCTAAAATTACCCTTTGATGGCAATTTTTAAAAAGAGTAACAATGAAAGAATCAGCCTTTTAGAGGAAATGAAATACTTTTCAGTAAATGGTATTTTTTATTTACAAATATATCCACATTTGTTCTTTCAAGAAAATTCCTAATAATAAATATTTACCAAATGCATACTATTGTTTCAAATGTACATTATTCTAAGAGCTACAGAATATAAAAGAAAATTATAACACATTGTTGCCTATCTTTAAGTTGATTATCTTTAAAAATTTTTTATTTTTTTTAAAGATTTTATTTATTTATTTGTAGAGAGAGGGGCAAGGAGGGAGAAAGAGAGGGAGAGAAACATCAGTGTGTGGTTGCCTCTCATGCACCCCCTACTGGGGACCTGGCCTGCAACCCAGGCATGTGCCCTGACTGGGAATCAAACCAGTGACACTTTGGTTCTCATGCCAGCACTCAATCCACTGAGCCACACCAGCCAGGCCTATTATCTTTGAAATTTCACTTTAGAATTTTGGAATCAGAATTGGGGAATAGCTATCTGAAGCAGCATTTAATGTGACACTCGCAGACGATTTAGAAACCAAGTCTGATCTGAATGTACTCTGGTTTGTCTTACAACAGCATCAACAATAAAACATAGTGTCTTACTGAACACTTACTAAAGTCTGACACTCCTTTGAACACCCTGATTTTAGTTATGCAAACTGGATGACGTTACCTACTTTCCTGCACCGCAGCTCACCTGTGGAGTGAGAAAGTAATACTTCGTATGTTAAGTTTTATATATGAACTAAACGAAATAACACATCTAAAGTGTTTAGCACAATGCCTGGCACATGTCAATAAATACTGGCTGCTACGAAAAGCAGTTTTCAGATGTAGAAACCAAAGGTTAGAGCTGCTAAAACCTTTCCCAAGATTACCACTGCCATCTTCTTGCTTCTAAACGATTTCATGAAATCAAATAAAGTCCTTTTAAAATAAAAAGAATTCTACATGTAAGCAAAGTCTGGCGAACTACTCTGTGCATGTTTGAACATGAAATCTCTGTTGTTTCATGTTTCTCAAGGCACAAAGGAAGGTGGCAGAACCAACTCTCAACTACAAATCCTGATTCTTCACCACAAAGCACTTTGAGTTTTCTATTTGCATGTGAGCAATTAGCATTAAGTAAGCAACATGTTAAACGGAATTAAGTAAGTTTCATTCCCATCTCATCTAATACTAGGTAAATATCAGTGTATCTCTTTAAGAAAAAAGTTATGCTATTCCAACTTTAACAAAGAGACAAATAGGCACTTCAGCCAAGATGGAGGCAGACACACTGTACCTCCTCGCACAAACAAAACAAGGACGACAATTTGGAAACAAAAAACAACCAGTACTGACAGAAAATCAAACTGTATGGAAGTCCAACAACCAAGGAGTTAAAGTAGACACATTCTCCAGACTGGTAGGAGGGGCAGGGGCAGGGGACCAGGCAGAGAGGGGTCTTGGCAAAGCAGTGGCTGGTGGACTCCAGGCTCACAAGGCGGCAGCGGGCGGACCCAGTGAGGCAGTAGATTGTGGAGGGGCACAGTGCACAGGCGGCTGGCAGACCAGGCGGTCCCACATTCACACACAGATAAACCAGGCAAAACTGGGGAGCGAGACAGACCGCACAACCCAGGGTCCCAGCATGGGGAAATAAACCTTCAAAACACTGACTGAAAACACCTGTGGGGGTTGAGGTGCCAGGAGAGACTCCCAGCCTCACAGGAGAGTTCGCTGGAGAGACCCACAGGGTCCTAGGATGTGCACAAGCCCACCTACCCAGGAATCAGCACCAGAAGGGCCTAG